CCCCGCGAGGGGCCGGGCCGCACCTGCAGACGGCCCGGAGACACTCCCACCGCAGCGCGCCGCGCCGCCGCCGAGTACTTCCGCTTCCGGTCCCGGGGCCGCCGGGAGCGGAAGTGGCCGGGGCTCCCGCTCTAGGGGCTGAAGGGGCTTCAGGCGGCGGCGGAACGGTTGAGCCCTTCTTCATCCGGCCTCCGAAGAGAAATACTAGTTCCGTTCCCGGGGGAGAGAGACGAGGGTGGGAGTGGACCTGGAGAATGGGGTGAGGGGCGGGGCCTCTGCCCGACGGGGGGCTGGGGGCGGGGCTGGGGCCCGGTGGGCGGGGCTGGGGCCCGGTGGGCGGGGCCTCGCTGGCTCGTTGCGGTGCTCGGTGTTGAACTGCCTTCTCCCTCGTCCCTTCGCCCGCTCTGCCTTTCTCCTCGGTTTAATCCAGTCCCCTACGAAAACATACCCATACGTAAGACTTTTTTTCAGAATTACTAATTTCTTCTAAAAATAGAGTTATATATTTTATTTCTTCTACATCTTGCCTTTCGCTAAAAATAAGATGTGAAAATCTTCTCAGATGGAAGATCTGAGTGTTCTTTTTCAAAATTATGTATTTGTTATGTAGTATAAATAATACACATAGGAAAGTGCGAGGGGGGTTTCTCCATCCCCAAGTTTTCCTCCCCAGAAAACACGGCTTAACCAGTTCCCTGATACTGTTTGTGTGTCAAGCACGCGTGTGTATTATTTCTTTCAATAAATACCTGTAGGTCAGTTGATTGCTACATGCGAGGTGCTAAGGTTGCAAAGCCCCTTGCTGCAAGGGCACTACGATTGGAGAATTGGAGGGGAGATGTGGAGAGAGAGATGAGGTTGATCCATTCCTGTAAAACTAACAACACGTTTTGTATGTGATGTATTGACAGAATATTTATTTTTAAAAAACTGATAAGGAGATATGGAAGAAAAACCAAGAAATTTGGCATAGTTGGTTGGAAAGCGAGCCTTGAAGGATGAATATTAAGTCATGGGGAATGGTTAGTGCAGTGAGTGGGAAACGTTGCAAGTTGGGGGGACAGTGTGAGTGAAAACAGGCATGGGGGATATACGTGTTCTGGGAACAGTGAGTAATGAGTTATGGCTAAAGATTAAGGGTATGTGCACGTGTGTGTTATTGTCACAGGAATAGACAAATAGAACAAAGAAACAAAAGGGCTCAGAAGCAGACTCAGACGTATATGGACGTTTAGTACATGTTAGAGCATTTCAAGTCAATGGGGAAAGGAAGCTGTTGGGACAACTGGCCAAAGGATTAAGTTGTTAGCCGCTATTTCACATCATTCATGAAAATAAATTCCAGATAGACTGACTCAAACAGAAAAAAGAACTTTAAGATATTAGAAGAAAATATAGGAGTATTCCTAACAGATTTTGCTTTGTGTTTTCCAAGGTGTGGTATTAATGCATAGCATAATGGTTAAGAGTCCTGGGTCTTGGTACTTACTGGCCAACCTGTGACCTTTCTAGCTTGTCTGTGCCTCAGTTTCCTGTCCCCCATTGAATGGGGGCACTAATGGGGTTGTACTAAGGACTGGATGATATAATGCCTGTATGCAAAGCACTTATCATAGTGTCTGACATGTAGTAAGTGCTCAATAAATGTTGGCTTTTATTGTATAGTTTCTGATGAAGTAATTTATATCAATATAAAATCTCCCCCTCTTCCTGTTTTAAATTTCGCCTTGAATTTTAGTCTGTTTCTAATATTGCCATACCAACTTCTTGTTGTTGTTGTTAGTATTTGTCTGATATGTCTCTTATTTTCAGCCTCCTTGCCATTTTGTCATAAGTGATGTTTTTTATAAATAGTACATAGGTGGGTTTTGGTTTTTTAACAAAATATGAAAGTAACTTTCTTCTAAAACAGAACTTTAATCCACTTACATTTAATGTGATTATTGGTGTGTTTGATGTATTTCTGCCACCTTATTTTACATTTACCCTATGTTTTCTATTTATCGCGTTTATTTGTTGTATGTTGATTGAGCCAGGCCTCTTTACTCTTGTTCTCAATTTGCTCCATCTTCTCTTCTGTATGTTAATTTAGAGAAGTATAAGGTGTGGTCAGAATTAATTTAGGATTATTTGGTATCGTTTCCCAATTGTCAATTATTTTCTTTTTTGCCTTTATTTTGCTTTTTTGTTACTAAAATCATCCCTATTGCTTATAAAAATATTGTAAAGTATGGAAAAATATAAAGAAATAGAAAAATAATTTCTTTATATTCTACATGTTCCAAAATTTCACTATGGTCTACTCAGTAGGCTTGTTTAATCTAGAGACTCATGTCTTTCAGCTTTGGGAAATTGTTTTATGTTATTTTCTTGGATAATAGCCTCGTTTCTGTTTTTTTCTTTTCTTTTTGTTTCTTTCCTTCTGAAACTCCTCCAACTCTTTATCTTTTTGGTCTCCTTTCTTGCAGATTGTCACCACTTTATGTCTAATCCTTCTATTGAATTTTCATGTTGGCCACCATAATTTTAATTTCTTAAAACTCTTCCTTATTCTCTGGAGGTTGCAACTATTCTTGTTTCACCTTTTTTAAAGATACAAATTGAAAATATTTTTAAGAGGTCTCTTTGTTCTTAGAGATTATTTTAGGACAATTATGGAATCTCCCTAACACTGACACTATCACAATTGGGACTCCACTGAGGCCGTGAATTTTTCTGAGGCTGTAATGCTGCTACCTGCAAGATAAAACTTTGAGGTTAGTTTTAGAGTATTTCAGACTGAGGCTATAAGAAATAAGAGATTCTTTTAGAAAAGTAATATGAAGTCCCTGATTCCCTGACAGTGACTTGAGCAAATATTTTAGCATTTTGAGCTTGTCATTCTTTTATTTTAAGCTCCCCATCGCGTTTAGAAGCAGCTACTGGCCTTACAGTGCTCAGATTCCTCGCACGCTCCTTGCTGTTCAATGCCAGTGGCCATTTGCCCCAAAACTTTCAATGGACACTCATTGCAGATGAGCAGAGGTCATTATTTAACTGTTTAAACCACTACCAGCGCCCCACCCCTTAATGCTCACTGAATTTTCACTGCCTTCAGCCCCAACCAGACCCACTGACCAATCCCAAATTACCATTTCTTTAAGGATCTGTGGCCTTCAACCACTCCTGGTACTGCTTTCTATATCACTGACGGTTCTTAGTTCCAAAAAATAGAAACCAACTCTGAGTACTTTAGGCAGAACATGAATTTATTAACGGATGTTAAGTAACTGAAAGACTCTTCATGAGTTTATGCAACCCGGATTAGGGCCTCACATCACACTTCAGACTGACGTAGAGAAAACCCTCTGAGCACTGCTGGGCACTGGACATTCGTTTGTGTCGTCTGAGACTTCTGCCGTGGAAAACAAAACAGATGGGGTGGATGAAACTCATAAGATGTAGGTATGGATGGGTAACTCGTAAGCAAACTTCTCTCCTCTCTTAACATAGAAAGAAGGACCAAGAGGCACCTGATATCCATGATTCGCTACATATGAAGCATTTCATGTTTATTAAGTCTGCATTAGCTACCCACTGGGGACACTGATTTTGGCCCCACATGTCTTCTGCCCAAGAAATGCCATGGCCACTCAGCGGGCTACTTGGCGAGCTACAGCTGTGGCCAGGTGTGCTGTCAGCTGCATCTCCCCAGTACATCTCTGGCTTTGTGGGCTGCGTCTCTCAATCTGATGTGTGCTTGCTCCAGGGCGCCTCTGCCTGGGGACCTCTTTCTCAAACCTCAGCTCTGTCCTCATAGCCATGTCAGCAGCAGGAAAGCCTGATATGGCAGAGAGAACGAGAAAGACATCTGAACATTATGTACCCAGGACTCTGCATGGTCTGTCCACTCACCTTAAGTGTGTTAGTTTACTCCCTCTCTCCTCTTTTTATCACTGTGTGTTATAAATTTATTTAGTAAACCATGTGATTTAAGCATTTCAATCTGGCCTATGAGCCTTTCCATTCTGTGACCCCAGCATGGCTTGCCTGGTGATGTAGTTGGTGGTGTAGTCATTGCAGTAAGGTGATCTCCCACATGACAGGCACAGACCCCACAGCCTATAGGCTGATGTGGCCAACCTGGGTGCTGGACGCCAGCCCTTGATCCTCTGGCACTTATACCCCCAGGAAACCTTGGGGTTTAGCTGCTGCTATGCTCACCAGCACGGGTCCCATGAAATTCTCGCTGTCTGCGTTACTAGATTGGCATCCAAGTGACGTTGTGTCTGCTTGGTGGAACCTAGACCTGTGCTACGGGGGAACCGAGGGAAGGCAGGATCTGACTTGCATAGTCAGAATCACAGTAAGTGATGAGATGAGCTGGGCAGTCAGAAAGGAAGGACAAATATTCCCTACGGTCAGTCTGGTCTGCCCTCCTCCTCTCTGCATGTATGCATGTATGCAGAGAGGGATACGTGGAAGGCTGCTCACCGGTATTAATCCTGCTTATGTCTGGGAGGTGAACTTTTGTATTATTCTTTGTTTTCTTCTTTGGACTTCACTGCATTGTTTCAGAGGTATGGGATAAGGCCTAAAATTAAGGTCCAATATTGTGTGCAGCCTTGACATCTGGGAAAACTGGGATGGCCTGAATGACCTAGCCGTAAGTTCACCTCCCCACTCTACTCCCACAGAAATGATCCCCAAGCCAAACAATCATCTTTATCATGAGGACCAGGCACAGTTCCTGCTCATCCCTGAGTAGTGGGCTTCAATGCCCCACCAGCCTGCAGAGTTTCTCAAACAAGCCAATCACATCCTCCCATGGGAACCAAGGGGCACCTCACCCTTTTATCACTGCAAAGCCTGCCTGCCACAGCCCTGGCTATTCACTCTGTGCCCAAGTGCAAACCTGTGGAGCCCTGCGTGGCACGTGGCATCCTCCTCCCAGGGCTGTGAGTGTATGTGGCTGTCGATCTCATCCATCCACTGTCAGATGTCACGAGTTCAGCTGTCCGCATAACCCTCAGGCGGGAATCCCCCCTCACCAAAGAGAAGAAGAGGAGACGATCAATCCAAGAGGGAATATAAATCATAAGTCTTTTTAAAACATCATTTGGACAGAATAAATCAGAATTTTAAATGTGTT